GACGCTCATGATAACGATCGGCTGAGCAGGCCCCCCCCTCACTTTATCTCCCCATCCTGCTTCCACAGCCTAAATCACTGTGGACTGGAGCAACCCCCACCTGCTGAGCCTTTCTGAAACGACAGCCGGTCCTTCTCCCACTCAGGGCCGTCGGTGGCTCTGCTGCCCTAGGACAGTGCCCAGCAGGCCCAGCGCCCGAGGCCCTTCAGCACCCAGCTGAGCCGGACCGGCCGGCTTCCCCCCCACCGCCCACATCCCTCCCGTTTCTCCATGTCTGTGGGGACGACCCCTCTCCTCGTCGAGCTCCTGTGCACCCTGCTAGACGCCCCTCGCCCGGCGCCATCCTCACCTCCTGGGAGGTCTCTGGGAAGGTGGGAGGGGTAGGTCATGGCCCGTCTCAGGGCAGATGGGCTCGAGGGGCCAGTCCCATGCGGGGGAAGGCTACACCTGGCAACAGAACCCACACCTGTCCGCTGCCAAGGCCCAGACCCAAGTCGACAGGTGGACAGACAGACCAGGACTAAGGAGGGGAGGGGGCATGAGGCTGAGGAGATTCAGAAGCAGACCACCCACACGCGGTGCAGGGAGACGCGGGCCCTACCTGCAGGACGTCTCCCGGAAGGAGATGTTCACGTCCCAGTGGGTGTGGACTCTGCAGGGGAAGAAGCAGCGGGTCAGCATGGCCTCCAGGACCCGGAGCATGGGGCTGGCTCAGACCTGTCTCCAGTGCCATCTGGTACCAGTTCGAACGGCCAGCGGCTGCCACCGGGACGGGCTCAAGCTTCGCCGGACGAGGAACCGGGTAGCATGGAGCTGGAGCTGCGTATCTTATCTCTGCTTCTCGACGGGTGGCAGGGGAGCCCCGTACTGTGCTGAGGTGGGGGCTGTGGCTTTCTCTGTCTGTCACTCATGCCACTGAACCCAAACTCTTCATCACTGGAGCTGCCCCAGCGAGGCAGGGACCCAGTCAGGGAGGGAGTCCCACAGCTGTGCTGCACCGAAGGCTGGGGTCAGGCCAGGTGGGTGTGCGCCCCTGGGTCCCAGCTGCTGCCACTTGCCTCCTGGAAGTGACCACTGCCCAAGGGAGGTAGCAGGGATGCCAGGACGAGAGGTCGAGCAAGGAAACAGATCTGCCCCGTGCCCACGCCCTCACCCGCAGCAGCGTCTCTGAAAAGACCCACGGGCCGAGAGCCGGCAGTGGAGGTCTGCGGAGGGCTTCACCTTGCAAATGTGGGTGCGGGGACTTGGGGTCCAGCGGGGTTGTTTTAGTTTAGGAAAAATTGGAATATGTTGAAAGACAGAAGGCATAGAAATTCTGATGGTCTGGGGGCTGCTTTCAGGAAGGGCTGGCCCTGCTCCCCGCCCTGCCTGGCTGCGATGGGACCAGGCCCCCTTCCTGGGTGTCCCTGACCGCCCCATCCTGAGCCCTGGGCTCGAGCCCACTCCATTCCCCACACCCAGAAGCTCTGTGCCTCCTCAGCACCTCACCACACGGGACCACATCGACTGCTCCTCCCTGACCCGCCCCTGGGGGAGCACACACAATGTTGACAGTGTCCTGGCTTAGCCCTTGGTCCCCAAGTGTGGGCAAGGTAGGCTCTCGCGGGTCCTGTGAGATGGAGGGGGCTGGGCTGTCCCTGGGGGTCCAGGCGTTGTTGTGGCAGCTCCCCAGAGCAAAGGACCACCTTCCCCAGACCTGAGCTTGTTTCCAGCTGCCCCGTCTGGGTGTCCCTGGCCCTGCGGGAGCCCGAGAGCCCCCTGCACCCCGGTCCCTGGTGGAAATACCTTCTCTTCATGATACGGACGTGAGGGTCATCCTCCTGCTTTAAGCCGGGCTGCTGCCCACAGGCCGGGGCGCTCCCATCGCCGCTGCCGTCGCTGGCCAAGAAGCTGGGGGTCAGTTCCTTCTTCAGGCCCCGCGCAGGGGGCAGGGCAGCTGTCCTCTTGTCTGCCAACCGACCCCGGTTCTAGGCAGGGTGAGGGGAGGGGCAGGTTAGGTCTGTCTGCCCCTGGGCGGCTTGCACCCCAGGCCCGACCCCCAGGCAGGACCCAGGTGACAGAAGCACTTGCTAAGAACAAACAGGCACAGTCACCGGCCAGTCTGCTCCACCGTGCCCGCCCAGACTGGAGGGGCCCGTGGCCTCCAGGACAGGCTCCAGGGTGGGCAGGAGTCACAGCTGACCAGAGGCCACGATGCACGCAGGGAGATGAGCCCCAGCCTGACCCCTGGACTGGGCTGGGGCTGGGCTGTGGGCCCAGGCTGCTCTGGGTGCCACCTTGTCCAGGCTCCGCACTCCATCCCGGCCCCCTCCATGGCCATCAGCCTGCGTCTGGGGATGTCACCCGGAGGCAGACCCAGCCTTCTCGCTCCTGTCACCGGCTCCCTGCACTTCCCTCCGCGTGTGCCTGTGCCGGTCCCCCAGGCTCGGGCCCCGGGAGCCGAGACCAAGGTCCTTTCTGTCTGTCAGTGCCCTGCGGAGCCCGGCTCAGCGGAGTCCAAGCCTGGGGCCCGAGCCTGCTGCCCCCTTGCAAACTGAAGGCCAGGATTCACAGGTCGCCTGGCCAGGAACCCTGACCAGCCGGACCCTCTGTCCCAGGAACCTCAGAGAGTCAGAGTTTGTCCACCCGGTCCCCTTCTCCTGTCCCCGTGCCCACAGTGACAGTGCGAAGCACTCCACGAGTCTCCTGGGCAGGAGAGCAGAGTGGGAGGGCGTGTCCTGCACACAGCCGGTTCCCACACACTCCGCAGTGTCCTGAGGCCCCGCGCCCCAGGGGAAGAGGAGAAGGCACTGACTGTCCTCTGGGCGGGAAGCCCGTTCTCCCTTAGTAACAGGCTCCTGGCTCGGGGAGGCGACCAGGGCCCTGGGGTGTCCTCTCTCATCCCTCCTTCGAGCCCCTCCCTGGACCGGTCATCACCTTGGACAGCAGCAGCGGCGCAGCCACCACAGCTCCGCCCTGCAGGGTGAGGTCCTCACAGCCCTGGCCCAGGCCCCGGAGCCACCGTGTCCCCACACCTGCCCTGGCAAACCCTCAGGGACCTCGATCTCCTCCACGCACACCCAGTGAGCTGGACGGGGCAGGCTCGCTGTGGCCCTGAGACCCTGGCCTTGCCCTGTGGGATACCAGCGGCGGCAGAGCAGGGCCACTGTCAGGCCCCTGCCCCTCCTGCCAGCCCCGGCCAGCAAGGAGCGCCTCAGCTCCGCCGTCTCCGGCCTGCGGCGGCCCATGCACCGGCGCCCCTCTCCTGCCTTTCTGCTTTAATTAAACTCACTTCGGAGAAAAGGAAACACTTGGTTGTTTCTCATCTGTAGGACAGGGAAGAGAAGGGGGAAATGGCTGCCACTTGGGATGAGACTAGACGAGCCACACTGGCCTGGGGCGGCTCCTGGGGGAGGGGCTCAGGAAGAGGACCCAGGGCGGGCAGCCCTGACCGCACCCCACCCGCGCAAGGACAGGGAACACAGTGCCTCCACGCACACCCGTGACCTCAGCTGCCATCCCTGCTCAGCAGCAGACTCGAGAGCTGGATGCTGAGCCTCTGCCCCTAGCCGAACGCCGGCTCCCCAGGCACCGAGGGCAGGCGTGGGCCACCTGCCTAGCTGAATGACCCCTGCACCACATGCACCCCCACACTCGGCCCCCGGACTAGCTGTGGCTGTGCAGTGGGCATATACCTGTGGACCTGGCTGTGGGGGGGAACCAGTCTCTGTGTGGGAAAAGTGGGAGCTGGAGAGACAAGGGAGTCCGCGGAGCTCCTTCTTAAGGGAGGGGTGCGGGGACAGGCCTGGGAGGGACCAGGCTTAGATGAGGCAGGCCCCGGTTTGAGCCGTCCCTCAGGCAGAGCAGGGACCTGGGAGCCCCAGACAGGCAGGTGGCCCTGGATGGTGTCCCCATCCCTGCCCAAACCCCTATCCAAGCAACATCTACAGGAGGGCTGACGCCGAGCTCGAGCTGCCTGCTCCCCCACTGAACAGAAAGTGCAGGCCGACCCGGAGGCCCCCTCTCCGGCCCCAGCTGCTTGAGAAGGTGCAGAAGTGGAGAGAGAGCCGGGCCTCTTGCCCGGCAGGTGTGGGGGCAGGTGTGGGGCAGGTGTGCTGGCAGTGGTGGGGCAGGCTGGGCACACTGTCTGGGAGCTCTGGGGTGCAGGCACGCCTGTGTGGGCAATGAGCATCCCCCTCCCCTGCCCAACTGCGTGTCTGACCTCTGGTCTGTCTTCACAAGTGTGTCTGTGGCCTCCCAGCTGGCCCCAGTTACCCACTCCTAGGTCTCGAGAGGAACCCGGGACATCCCCTCCCCCACCCTACTACCAATCCAAAGAAAACAAGCCTAAGGCACGCCAGAAGCCCTGGTCCCCTCAGGCTGGCTTTCCCTCTGCCTCTCCTACCCCTTCCTGCCAGAGGGGGCTGCCGAGTGGTGCCAGGAATAGTAGCACCAGCCTGCCAGGAACCAGGCCTCTAACCCGCTCTCCCCCAGGGCCGCAGATCGGTCCCTCTCCAGAAGCATTTTCCCTTCCAGACCCCTCGCCCTGGAGCACAGGCGCTGGCGAAGGCCTGTGCTCCAGGCTGTCTCCTGCTCCCCGCGCCACCAGGGGCTCGGAAGAGGTCTTCACTGGGTTGGGGGCCCCACGCCAGCCGCCCCGCAGCCTCTGTTCTCTTGACACCCAAGGCCCTCACTGCGTAGACGCTGCCCCGACGCTGCTGCACGTCCAGGGTCCGGCGACTGGGCACCTGTAACTGCCCCAGAACACGCGTCCGGGCAGCCAACGGTGTCAGGCCCAGCGCAAGCGTCACTCTAGCAAAGGCCCTCTTCCAAGCCGGGCCAGATGAAATGGTGACCACCCCCTCCCCCAGATTCGTGACAGGGCAGAGTCCCCAGACCCCAGGTGGATGACTCCTCAGGGAGGAGACCCTCCCAGGACTTCAGGAGCAGCTGCCCCAAGGCTCCCAAGGGAAGGAAAGGGCTCCAGGCGCCCCACCCCAAGCAAGTTCTCCTCACGTTCCCCGGGAGGAGGGCTCCCTCCCGCACTCTGGCAGGGTAGAGGTTAGGGCTCCGGAGCCTGCACGATGTTCACAAGCTCCGCAGTGGGGAAAGAAGACCCCAAAGCCCCAACTCTTCTCCCACATCTCACCACCGGGGAGGATATTCGACAGCCGGGACAGTCGCAGATCGGAGGGTGCACCTGCAGAATCCCCTTGGACATAAGCGTCTTCAGACTTTTCCCTGCAGGAGAGCCGAGGCAGGACCGATGAGGGAGCGGGCGCACACGTAGCGCCTGTGCACGCGGGCACACTTCCGGGGCGCAGTCGGCGGCAAGGCCGGTTCCCTGCTGCATGCGTATGAACACCCACCTCCATCCAACTTCCGCGCTCGCCACCCACCCCTGCGGCCCACTCCACCCTCGCGGACGCCGCGGGGATCTGCCGAGCTCAGAAACTGGAGATCCGGGCGCGCGCCCTCCCCCGACGAAGGGGGGCCTCCTCCTCCGTGCGCCCCTCCTCCCGCACTCCACCCTCCCCGAGCCGGTCCGCCGGAGCCCGGAGCAGGGCCGAGGAAGGTCGAGCCCAGGCGCAGGTGAGCGGCGCCGTCAGGAGCTGGGGCTGCGCCTGACCCCGCAGCGGGAAGAGGGTGGCCACCGCGGATCTTGAAATCCCAGTCGAGCGCTACTGGGTCCCTAACTTTCTAACTCCCCCCACCCGCGCACCTGGCGCTCACCGAGCTTCCCCCGCGTGCCAGGTCGGGCGCCGTCGGTCGCGGCCTTGGAGCCAGACTCTTGCAGGAGCCCAAGCAGGCTGCTCCCAGCCCCGCCGCCGCTCTTGCTCCGCGCGCGCCCCCGCCCCGACGCGCGCCCCCGCGGCCCCCACCTGCCAGCGCTACCCGTACGCTTTGCCCTTCCCTCCAGCAGCGCGCACCCGCACCACCGCCGCATGTGTGCCCCTCTGCTCCCGCCAAAACCCGCGGCTCCGCACCCGGGAGTGCGGGGGCGGGGTGTCCTGCCCGGGCGGCCTCCTGCCTGCTCTCCCGAGTTCTCATAAACTTCCCCTGGTCCTCAAGGCCCAGGAATCCCGCAAAGACCTTCGGAGCGGCAGGAGCGGATGGCTAGCGCGCATCAGGGAGCCAGGGCACCGCGGCCGGAGCTGGGGGGACGGTGGAGGCCGAGGGCGCTCTGCCCGCGTCCACCAAGGCGACTGCGCTGCAGTGGGGGCCGGGAGCGGGGAGAGGCCCTGCGGCAGCCCCGGAGTCACAGCGCCCTCCCTGGGCGGTGACGGAGTCTCCCAGATGGCAGGAGCAGTGGGGTCCGGACCCAGCGGTCCTCGAGAGCAGAGGGGAGGGACGCGAGCGGCCCGCGCCCCCACCGCGGGCGCACCTTTGTGGCGGATGCTGCGTTTCCAGTCCTTGGCCGTCTCGCGGCCGCTGACGAACTGGAACTCGTTGGGCGTGAGCCACTCGCCGCGGTGGCGGATGGACGGGCCCTTGCTGCCCTGGCAGAGTTTGCGCACGTAGAGCAGCGCGCGGTTGGCGCCGCACTCCACCTCGATGCACGGCTCGCCGTTGTCCAGCAGCGGCTGGAAATCCGGTGCCGCAGTCGCAGTGGCCGAGAAGCGCTCGAGGGCCAGAGGGTCCCGGGGCAGGTGGAGGTGGGGGGCGGCCTCGTGCAGGCTCAGGTAGGCGCGCGGGGCGCGGAGCGGCGGAGCCAACAGCGCCTCGTAGCCGGCTGTCGCGGCGGGTAGCGAGGCTGCCGGGGGCAGGGCGGCCACGGCGGGCAGTGGCGCCAGGTAGCCGGGCAGCGGCGGCACTGGCAGCGCAGCCAGGGTCGGGTGGAAGGTGGCCAGCGCCAGGGCCAGGTCTTCGCGGCCCGGGAGCTCCTTCTTGACCGCCGGCA